TCCGCCGCGCTCCTCCGGCTCCGCACTCCGGGCCCGCCGTGCCGTCGTCCTACGCGTTCCGCCGCCCTGGACCTCCACCGCACCCACCCACAGCCCCGCGCCGGGCCGGCCGGGGAAGCGGCCCCTTTAAGATTCTTCACAACAATAAAACAGCCTCGGCCGCCGCTTTATCCTTCGCCGTAGTTCCGCCCCCAGCGCCCGTCCCTATTGGACCCCCCCCTTGGCCTCTGCGATCCTCTCCCTCCATAGGCTGCGCCTGCAGACCCGTCTCCCAGCTGCCGGGGCTCATTAGAGAACTGCTACGCCAATGTTTTCGTGTCTGTCCAATCGCGGAGCGCAGCGGGAGGCACTGTCAATCACGGAGCGCCAGAGGCCAATCGGAGTGGGAGGACCCCTGCGGCTCAGACCTTATGCGGAGTTTCGGGGCGGGCCCTGGGTTCATTCACAACATTCCACCCCCGCCTCCCCGGAGCTGGACCGCGCGCCCCGGGCAGCTGGGGCTGCGCCCACACACGGCTTTGTTTACCGAGGGTCGCTTCCGGGTGCCTGGAGGACAATCGGCTGCACCCCCCGGAGCTGGGCAGTACCTTGCCTCCACCTGCAGCTGTGTGATCGGAGAGGCGCGCCCAGCGTCTTTGGGCCCACGGTAGAGTTTGAGGCCTAGGGACTGCGGCTGCAGACCTCGGCCCAGACACAGAGCTCAGCACAGGGTCCAGTTAGGACCCCATCCTTTCTATGCCCTAAGTAGGTTGGTTCATGGTATTTTCAAAGTTTATATATTTGGTCAGAGTCTCGCTGAGTAGTTCAGGCTGGCCTGGACTCACAGAGATCCTCCTGCCTCAGCCTCCCGAGTGCTGGGATGACAGATGTGAGACCCCATGCCTCGAAAAATTTTTAGTTTTTGAACATCTCGACCTTGTAAAGTGAAGTTTCAGATCCCACCACCTGTGATTATTTTTCTGACCTCGCTTGTCCAGGCGCTCACCTCTGGCCCGGAAGCTGGCCGTGGTCTTCCTCACTGCCGCCCCCACGCCGTGATCTCAGAGCACCTGGGTCTCACTTCCTCACCCTCCTGCCCACGTGTATCTGCCGGTTCCCAGCGGTGAGTCTGGCTTTTCTCAGGAGCCGCCGCCTTACCATCAGCATGGGTTCGGCACCTGCCTGCTACCGCTCAGTCTGGAACCCGCGGAGCGGCCGACTCCAGGTGACGTGCAGAGCAGGAGGCAGCCACGCTAGCCCTACTGGCCCGGCCCCTGGCCCGTTCCCTGCCCCGGGATCTCCAGGTTTTTCCTACGGGTCTCGAAGCTGCACCTCCTGCCTGGCCAGTCCTCAACCCGGCACCATTCAGACTTGCATGGCCACTGGTGGGTCTTGACCGGGCTGTGTGGGATAGAAAACTGGGGTAGATTTCATACACTTAAAGAAAAAAATGGCCACAAAATATGTCATTAAGAATTTTCAGTGGGGCGTGGTGGCTGGCGCATACCTATCATCACAGCACTCAGGAGGCTGAGGCAGGAAGACTGCTGTGAGTTTGAGGCCAGCCTGCGTTACACAGGAAGTTCAAGACTCTATCTCACAAAACCAAATTAAAGGAAAAGAATTTTAAATCTTGATTACTTTTTAAAATGATACATGGTTTCAATAAAATATATGATTGAAATTAGTTCTAGCTGTTTTGTTGTGTGGCAGGGGACATTTACAATAATGTACGTGACTCCGGGTGTATTTCCATTGGGCTTCGCTGGCATGGCGCCTGCCCCAGTGTTAGGCTCAGAATTGGTAATGATTGTAGAAAGGTGAGGGCTGCTGAAGCGGCGGAGTTGCCCGAGTGTGTATCACGGTTAAGCCTTTTGCAGTGCTGCTAAGTGGAGTCACCTCCATTTCTCAGATAAGGACCTTGAGGTTGCCTGAGACCTCCCAGTGGGAGAGCCACTCGTGTTATTTTAACATATTTTGGTTGTTTTTTGAGACAGGGTCTTGCTAGCTACATAGCCCAGGTAGCCTTGAACTCATGGCAATTCTCCTGCCTCAGCCTCTCGAGTGCTGGGATGAGCGCTGGCTCATAATTCTGTTCTGATCCCCTGCTTTTCTAGGTGAGGGGAATGAGGCCCAGAGGGACTGAAAGCTGCCCACAGCCACGCTGCAGTTCTGGAAGACCGTGGTGGGTCAGAAAGGGCCCGAGAAATGTCCACAGGATGGAGTTTCTCTGCCTCTTTCAAGCTTGCCGCCTTCCTAGCAATACTTTTAGGAAAGGAGAGGTCGGCGAGGGAGAGGGAGAAGGGCCATCCAGACGCTCGCATCCTCCCTTCCTGCCAGAGCCAAGGAGCCCTGGCTTCTTTGGGGAAATGGAAGCCACATTTATCCTGAGGCCGCTGTGTGAGCTCACTGTCTAGGCATGTGTAGCTGCGGAGCCCAGCCCCACATGTCCTTGTTCGACCTGTGGGGAAAGCGGGCAGCCCTGGAGGCTCAGCTGCGGGAGGCGAGGCAGACCCCCAGCTCTGGAGACGTCCCGCCCGCTGGCCTGTGCCAGCCCTGGCAGCTCCCCACCGAGCAGAGCTGACTCTGGGGCAGCTGGCCGGTTCGTCTCCTGGCTTCCAGGTCTGAAGCAGCCCCTCTGCCTGGCCCTACTGAGCTTCTTAGGTTTCTCTTCATTCTAAAACCCAAGTTCACGGGCAGAGGGTCAGGGCCTTGCCAGGAGGAGCGGGCATTCACGGTCGGGAGACGGCTGAGTCAGGAGGGAAAGGGTTGGGTTACAAAAGGCCTGGCTCCGGGGAGGGGAACAGCAGGTTCCCGTCCTCATGCCCAGCACCCAAGCGTCCTTGCGGTCACACTGTGAGTTCCAAATCCTTGTGCTTCCGGGGTATTAAATGAGGGCATCAGGGTCCCCCTTTAACAGAGAGGGACTCAGAGAGCTGAGGTGACTTGTGGAGGGCCACACAGCCAGAAGTGTAGACCAGGCCAGTGGGGCTTGGGGGGCCCTGGAGTCACCCAGGGAATCGAAGGGAAAAACGAGAGGCTGTTTGGGGAGCCCCAGGGTCGGGTCGGGGTGGGTCAACACTCCAGACCCCATGCCCGCGGCCAGCTGGTGATAGAGCCCAGAAGGAGCCAACTTTCAGGGTTCCCGCGTGGCTGGGGTGACGCCAGCCTGTGGGAGGCTAGGACGACGGGTCTCAGGCGCCCCCTGGCGGCAGAGGCGGTGCTGGACGGCACCAGGGTGCCGCACAGTGCGGCTCTGCCTTTTGGATATTCCGGACAGACAGGTGAAAGAGATTTTTCAAAAAGGAGTGGCTCTCGTAAGCATCTGAAGATGAACATGTCTTCAAATGTTTATTTAACTTAGGCAGGAGCCAGGCAGATGTGGTAAGGGGCTCCAAGGGTCTGGAGCCAGGCTTTGTGGCCCACGCCTGTCAACCCAGCACTCTGGAAAACTGAGGTGGGAGAATCAAAGTTGGAACCTAGCCTGGGCAATTTAGTAATTTAGCAGGGAGACCCTGTCTCAAAATAAAAACAAAGAAAGGAAGGAAGGAAGGAAGGAAGGAAGGGCTGGCTGGCATGTGGGTAAGTGGTAGAATCGCTGGGTTTGATCCCAAGGTCTGAAAAACAGATACTGTTACAGATAAAAGATATTGGAGGTAAGGTGGGGATGGACACCAACGGGCTCCCCCGGGGGCGGAGGGCTGGGCTGGCAGCTGAACCTGATTGAACCTTCTGGCCATAGCAAGGACTGGAAACCTGCTGTCAGTGGTTTACAGCCGGCAGGGCTGTAAAACAGCTCAGACTAGGTATCAATCAGGCAGCTGGCAGAGTTTTGTTTACAGATAACATGCTGAAGGATCACTGGCTGCTCCCAACTGACTCCTTCTCTTCAGCAAGGAGAAGTCCTTTCTTCTTTCCTTCCCTCCCTCCCCCTCCTTCCTTTAACACTTGTTCATCCAGCAGCTGCTGTGCACTGGGAAGCAAAGCAGAAAACAGGGCAGGGTGACTTTAGATCTGAAGATCAAGCAGGGCGTGGTGGCGCATGCCTGTAATTCCAGCATTCGGGAGGCTGAGGCAGGAGGATCGTAGTGAGTTCGAGACCAGCCTGG